CCCCCTATGTTTCTCTTAATGTAGAATAAAATGGCATTCACCGTCTTTGCTATAGCTTCACACTGCTGACTGATGTTCAACTTATGATCAACAATAATTCCAAGGTCCTTTTCATTCACTATTATAAAACAACAGTGGACCTTCCAAGGTTGGAATGTAAAAGCAACCTAAATTTTAAAGAAGGCCAGTGCAGTTAATGCGGCTTGAGCACCTACAGATTGTGGTATCCACAGGGGGTTTTGGAACCAAATTCCAGTGGATACCAAGGGCCCACTGTAGGAGGGTTTGGAAAAGCATATGTAGACTCTCCAGGGGCCCACCTGGCTTACTTCTCGCCCTTGTATGGTGCATTACAGTAATCCAAACAGATATAGCTACAGTATGTGCCATGGTGACCAGAAGGGATGTCTATAGGAACAGTGTTATAGTTCTTATTTCACCATGATTTTGACCAGTATATACTATAATGTGGCTACAGCATGTATTTGTTTCTGCTGTTTAAAAATAAAGCCCTTTCTATACTAGTTTTTGCATAAGCTCTCATTTGCTTTTGATTGCTGATGCCAGTCTGGAGTTTTAAACTGTTACTGCTTTTGCTTTTATTACCCTGTGTTTTATGTGTATTACTATCTAGTGTGGATAAGGACATTTTTATGTTGCTGCTTTAGTTTTAATTAATTCATATGTACATATTTTATACTTGTTTTATGATAGTGTATAGCTGCTTTGAGTGGGGGTTTTTAGGTTTGGAAAAGCAGCATCAAGCATTAAAATGAAATAAAATAATTAATAGGATATTTCACATATTAATTAAACTACTGGGAAAGGTTATCTGGAGTTTGGGGGTCTGGTGTCATCAATATATAGATAACACCCAGGTCTGTTACTCTTTTCCATCTGAATCCAAAGAAGCTGTTTTGTTCCTAAACCAGTGTCATCAGTAACGGAACAAATGAGGATGAACACATTGAACCTTAATCCAGAAAAGATAAAGGTGCTCCTGGTCAGCCAAAAGGCAGATCAGGGAATTGGGATTCAGCCTCTGGTGGATAGGGTCATACTTCTGCTGAAGATGCAGGTCCAAGTTTTAGTGTGTTCCTAGATTCACCCTGAGCCTAGAAGCTCAGGTTTTATTGGTGGCCAAGAGTGCACTTGCACAGCACTTTGTACTAGTTGTGCCCATTCCTTGAGACATCAGAACTGACCACAGTGACTATGCCTTAGGGACGATGCAGACTGGCACAAAGGGCTGGCCTGGGGGTGGAGTTGGGGTGAGGCAGCCACGCTTCAGCCACCCTGACTCCACCCCGATGCCATCCTGATGCTGTGCACCCATCCACACAGTGTGTGGTGTCAGGACACGCTCCTGGAGCAGCGTGCACACACGCTGCACCAAAAGGGTGCAAAAGAGCTACCATGGCAGCTCTAAGGGAGGCCTTTTGCCACCCCCAAAAGGAGTGGCATTTTGCTGCTCTTTTGGGGGCAGCAAAAAGGAGGATTGGGGCAGCAGTGCATGATTGCCACAGCCCCAATCCGCCACTCCCAGGGGCAGCTCTGTGCCGCCCCTTTTGGGGCGTCTGCATCAGTCATATTCCATGTGGCTGCCTTTGAAAAGATGTTCAGAAATTTCTGTTGGTTCAATGAGCAGCAGCCAGATTGTTAACCCGGGCTGACTACAGGGAACAAACAACTCCCTTGTTGCAACTAGTGGCTGTCAGTACATTTCTAGACACAAGACATGACCTATAAAGCTCTATATGACTGAGGCCCAGATTATTTGAAGGATCCTGTTATCCCATATGAACATGCCAGTGTTTTGAGATCTTCTGTGGAGGCCCTTTTCTCTAACACATCACCCTCACAGGCATATCTGGTGAGAACACGGGAGAGTTTCTCAATGGTTGCTGCCAAATGTTGAAACCTCCTTCCTAGAAAGGTTAGACTGGCACTCTCCATATGTCTTTCATAGAATTACAGAGTTGGAAGGGGCCCCATGGCCTATTAAGTCCAATGTCCTATTCATTGTAGGATCTCCTGCTTGAAAAAGCTCCAGCAGTTATCTGTCCAACCCCCTTTTAGAAGTTGTCCAGAGGTAGAGACCCCACCACCTTTTTAAGCAATATTGGCTCCATTGCTGAACCACTTTCACCATCAAGAAATTCCTCCTAACGTTTAGTCAAAATCTACCTTCCTGTAACTTAAAACCATTAGACCTTGAGCAGCAGAAAACAGGCCTGCCGACTTCTCTCTGTGACAGCCTTGAGGTATTTAAAGAGCTCAATCTTGTCATCTTGCTGTTTTCTCTTCACCAAGCTGAACATGCCAGCTCCTTCAATCTTTCCTCATATCTTTTGTTCTCCATACTTTGTATAATTGTTGTTGCCCTTCCCTGAACCCTCTCCAACTTGTCAATAATCTTAAAATAAGAAGGAACACAGTAGTCCTCTTGAGGCCTGATTAGTACAGAATGTGGCAGAGCTATTACTTTTCCTGAACTGAAAATAATGGCTCTACTAATATAGGCTAAAATAGTATTTGCTTTCTTTGCTGGACCTTATTTATTGCTTAAATGGTTTACATTTTTAACTGGTTTAATTTCCCAATAGTTTAATTGCTTTTTAATTTTTGTATACTGTGAATTTTTGACTATTGTTTTAACAGTTGTTAGCTGCCATGAGTCCCAAACTAGGGAAAAGGCAGTTTAATACTAATACTAACACAACTAATAATAGGATATTATTATGGGATGTGGTGGCTTAGTGGTTAAGATGCCAATTCTGATGATTGTACAATTGAAAGGTTAGCAGTTCGAGGGCCGAGTGGGTGAGCTCCTGTCATTAGTCCTAGCTTCTCCCTGAGAATAATAATATAATGATGATAATAATATCAATAATAATAATATTAAGATAATAGTGTGGGTTGATACACTAACATTTTTGGATTTGTTTGTTGAAGTAATTATTATCAAGTTACAATACCTTGCTTTCTTTGTCACAGTTGGTGGTCAAGGTCTAAGTTGCTTAATGTTATTTATTGTATTCAATCTTTGGGTGGGCAGGGACCCCCCTCCCCCAGGGGATAATTAGGTTAATTGGAAATTACAAATTCCTTTAATTAAATTCAAAGATGGGTATACTTCAATAGGTTAACCAAATTTTATATGATGTCATCAAACAACTCGATGATGTCATAATTTGATAGCATCATAAGATCCCTTATAACATCATTTCCGGTTGGGGGGGGCTTAGATAATTATTGTTGTGCATGTTGATTTAAACAGATGTACTTGATGCATGCCGTGATAGATGTGGTTTACTTTAATAACTGTTTCAGTTATCTACACGGACACATGTGTCAAGAATAAATTCCGGTAATTTTAAAGATTGTTTACTTAAATTGTTTGGAGACCCTGTACAGAAATAAAGTTGTGGCCAGTTTTTACCCAAAGAATATGGCGTACGGAGTCCTTTGTGCCGGTGCAAAGCCACAGTGTTCTTTGAACTTGTTATTAGAAGTTCAGCTTGTATATGCAATAGTATGAGGGTAAACATCAGGGGTGCATGTTCTCTTCTCTCATATGGAGAATCATGAATGGGGAATCATGACCTATGCATAAAATAATTACACATATCCACTTTAACTTGCAAAAAAAGCCCTATGGTGTGAATGAGACCTACTTTAGTGGTCTGCATTCACATACATGGTTGGGTTGATGATAAAGGAATACTTGAAAACTGATGGCTTGCTCTTCATCCTGCCACTTTTACAGGTTACAGACTGGAGCTGCATGAGATATGCAGCCCTAAGTACCACTGATGTCAATGATAAGTATCTTTTAGATCACAGTAACAGGCAGGCCATGACAAACAAATCATACAATGTAGTTGCCATAACAACTTGAGGACTCTGTGTACAAAACAGCTTTATTTTATTTAATAAAATATATCTGTCTTACCATATACATCTCAGGATGGCGTACAATAAAATCAGTTTAAACATTTTAAATATTACAACCATAAATTATCATCTACACTCTAAAATATTAAACCATATAAACATTTGAAACATCTTAAAACACTTAAATTTAGGTACATATACAATTTGGGGAAAATAAACTAGGTTCATGTTTTAGCTTCACACTAAAATTAGGAAGAAACTTTGGGGGTTTTGTATTCTTATTTTAAAATGTTGGGTTTTTTTAACACTACAAGAGCTCATTCCCACTATGATTTACATTAATTTACTGATCACTATATATGTGCCTTGTCCCCATTGAAAATGGTTCAGATGCAACTGCAATCATTTGGACTTGCTTGGGAGCGAGACAAATGCAAAAAAAAAAAAAAATCACTCTTTTCAGACAGTAGCTTCTGGGAGGTTCTTTTGAAAAGAAGTGATTCAGAAATATGTTCAACAAGTGTGAATGACAGATCTGTGCGGGCCTTTGCAGACTGCCAGAAATAGTGCAAATTGAATCCACTTT